TATAAAAGCTGTCGTGTCACTGTCTCTGGATCATTTTTAACTAATAAAGATGTTTGATCCTGTTTTAATCTAAATCTGCTGCTGATCCTCGTCACTGAACTAACTGCTGCCCCCTGCAGGTCGTGTGTGACGGACATGTGTGAATGTCCCGTCCATAAAAACTGTTACTGTGAGTCGTTCATCGCCTACAGCCGAGCCTGCGAGCGGGAGGGCGTGCCCGTCCTGTGGAGGCCCGACACGGCCTGCATGGGTGAGTGACAGCGACCCAATCTTCCATTAGTTCATTTAAAACGATCAACACACCTCGAGTCAGAATCAGTTGAGTTCTTGTTTGCTGAACTCGTTGTGTTAAAGAACTTCACCGTGTGAATGTTTGTCTTCTCGTTAACGCCTCCGTCCTGTGGAGGAAGTTGAGGAACCAGATCCTCCACATCTGGTTGGCTGAGTTTTATTTTGACGACCTTGTCTCTTCCCTCCCTCAGCCACCCAGTGTAAACACGGCGCCGTGTACGACACCTGCGGCCCCGGCTGCACCAAAACCTGCGACAACTGGAACGAGATCGGCCCGTGCCACAAGCCGTGCGTGGCCGGCTGCCACTGTCCCGCCAACCTGGTGCTGTTCCAGGGACGCTGCATCAAACCCATATCCTGCCCCGGGCGGTGACCCTAGTGACCCGGGGGGCGGGGGGAGGGGGTCAGGTCAGGGAGCTTTTTAAAAACTATACGAACCAAACTTAAGGAAGAGTTTGGGACGTTAAAGGGTCCAGTGTGGACAGGTCACAGGTCACAGGTCACAGGTCACGAGGTGGTGCTGCGTCCACCCTCTGTGCTGAGGACCGTGTACGATACAAGACTCCACCACGAGGGGGCGCTGGTTCCCGACTCGGAAGGGGAAAAAAAACTTGAACCTTGTTCGGAAATGTCACGACTTCTCCTCTCGCTCTCGCTGAGGAGGTCACGTGACCACAGACCCTCAGGAAACGCTCGGGGCCGCCGGACTCGTCGGAGCCGACGCGGCGCCGGGTTTCTCTCAGCCGGACTCAGAGCAGAGGAACTGATGCCTCGTGTCAAACTGTCCTCGGGATCTTTTCATATTGTAAGCTAACCAGATTTATATGAGACAGACAGCTTTTATATTATTATTGTTCTAATTATTATCTAATTATTATTTGTTGTTGATGTTGTTAATTTATATTCCAGTCGAATGACGTAGCAAGAGCCAGAATCATGAATCTAATGGTGTCGATGATTTAAAGGGAAACAGAAGCTATTTATGTATTTGTAGTGTACTGTTGTGTTACTGTTTGAAGAGAATGTGACTCACTCTCCACCGCAGGGATAAAGTACTGTACTGTGTTCTGCTCCGTGTCCAGGTTGTTGTGGTTCCTATCAAACTGAAGGTTTTCATCCAAGCGTATGTTTCACTTGACAACAATTATTTAAGACCAGCAATATAATCTTTTGTCAAAGCTCATGTTCGACTTGTGTCTTTACTCTTTTAATAAGATGGACGTCTGAGCTCGAGGTTGCTGGTTCCAGTCCCCCAAAACAACCGTGGTGATTTTACCAGGCAGGAAAAAAAAGAGGGAATGTAATTCACGGAAGAAGTTTCGTTTATTTTTCTCTTTTCTTTGCTTCTTTAGTACGAAACGTAGTTTGACCCTTTCAAAATAAAGCTGCTTTCAGACCTGATTTCCCTGAAATGTTCTGGACGAGCTGTAAGAACAGAAACTCTGAACCAGCAGCTCCGGACATTAACATGAAACACAAACTATTTTCTGAAACTCCGAGTCTGAAAACAGCTTTTGATTAAAGAAGGAAAATCAGATTCACTTTTAAACGCAAAATTAATTCATGAAATCAGATTGTGAAACAAAGTAAAACTTCACTCGTGACACAAAACCATGAGCCTCATTCAGTTTTTATTATTTTCAAGTTCTAAATATTTGGTTTTATTTGTTTTCTTTTTATTTATTGTCATTTATCAAAGTTTACGTCTAAACTGTAAAATTCAAACCTCAGTTATATTTCTATATTTCAAATACATGTAAACACCAGCCGATACAACCTGTGCTGTTTTACTGTATAAGTATTTTACTACCTTTAAACTACATCCATATAGTTTGGACTCTACTTCTCAAAAAACAGTCAAAAAGGAACAATTCAAATTATTTTTTAATACATGTGCATTTTAATACACTTCAAATTTGTACAAACAGATTTCCTATAAACGTATCACGAGAACTAAAGCACCAAATACACCAGAGTCCGTCAGACAACAGATCTGTGATGAAGGAAAAAAACTAAACATCAACATAAAAGAAGAAATACATCGACGGTCACCAGAAACCAGAGAAGCTGGAAATCTGACTCAACGGTTCGTACTGTTCGTACAATCATCGTGTTCTGTCCTCATGTACGTTTTTGAGAAACACGGCGAAGCTTTAAAAACACGTCCTGAGAGACGACAGAGAATCTTAAAATGTTTGTTCTGAAGAGTTTCATTTCAAAATCACACGGAAGCATTCAAAGTTCACATATTCAAAAAAAAAAGGGTTTAATGGAAACAACGTTCTTTTTTCATAGCCAATGTTTTAAAAGTTAAAGATCAGAGGTTGAAATTAAACAGTAGAACAAATGATTTGAGCGGGAAATTTCTCTGCTTCACGATTCCAGCCGAGTAAACGAATGACGTCACCACCTCAACAGATCGATGATTGACTCGAGAAAGTTTTAACATGAACATTAAAATGAGTTTGATGTTTCACTGTGAATCTGGAGTGTTTCCTCTTCCTCGCGTCTTCTCTTCTCCGTGTGACTAAACTTGTGAAATGCGTCGAGTAGTTTTCGTGTCATCGTGCAAACTATCTGACAAACACACAAATATACACAAAGTACAACATCCTCGTTATTAAAACGCGTCTTTTTTTACAAGTTCTTAAAAACAAGCTCATGATTCAGCGTGAAAGGTTGAACTCAGACGTCAGTGGTTTTTGTAATGAAACTCTTCAGCCGTGTTTCTGACTGATCCGAACGACACGGAACGATATTCACCTGCAGACAAAGGGAACAATCACTGACTTCACTTGGTCAAAGCACAACACGACGACACAGCGACACGACGCCGTTACACCGCTCAACCCGCTCCGTGCACGAGATGACGTCTGCACGAGCTCAACTCTTTGGCTTTTTCAGAAAATGACACATTCGCTGTGGTTGGAGACGCCGTAAGGCAGCGAGTGGTTTTATATGAACAATACGAGAAATGGAGAGTGGCGTTTTTGTGAAAGGTGAAATTAAAGCTCTTTGGAGGAAATTTGTTTTTGATCCTATTTTGAAATGTTGTACTGACTCTGATTAAGATGAGTTCTGTGCAGACACGAGGAAACGCTCCGGTTTTGGTCTTTTCACAGGATTCATTGACAATAAGACAAAATAAACACCAGCTCTGTTTCTTTTTTTTTTTTCCTCTGATGAATGTCATCTGATATCAGGTTGGTTTTGATTTTTAAATTCATTTTTAAAATGAGCAAAAAGTAAAGAAACGCTGATCTCAACATTTACTACACGAGCAGATGATGATTCGATTTGTTTCTTTCCTTCACAGGCAGCACATCGTTTCTGTGAACGATGTGAAGGGATGAGAGAGAGTCGGAGATGATGTTCAATCTCCTCCTCGTTTTACCATGAAGACAAAACCCAAAGATAGACACAAGAGATCGAACTAGCTGCTCCAAGTACAGAAAATATGTATGTGCACTCTAATATATAATCTTCCACATCTCTCAAGTAAAGGTTTCTTTTTCTAACGGAGCTTTACAAAACAAAATATACATCTAATAAAAATACACTCTTAAAGTTGACCAGCGTTGAGGATTTACTAAAATAAAGTTAAAAAACAAGATATATACGGCTTAGGTCAGCTACCACAGCAAAGGAACCAGTGGAGGAGGAGGAGGAGGAGGAGGAGGAGTGTGGACAGAGAGTGAAACCGACCAGCGTTCAGTCGTCATCGCTGTCGCTGCCCGACTCGCTGAGCTGCAGGTCGTTTCCTGTGAGGACGGAGAAGAAGAGGATGAACCTGAAACATTGTGACTGAAGTGAGCGTCAGACTGATTCAAGCAGGAGAGACTCACTGAGCGTGTTCATGAGCTGGTTGTTGCCCTGCGGCCGCTCCGCTCCTCCGTTGGCCACAGGCACGTGGCTGGGCGAGGTCTGACTGAGCGGTCGAGGGGCGCCGTGCTCGCCGTCGCTGCTGCTGTCGTCGCCGCTCGCCGACGCGCTCGCCGAGTCAGAAGAGCTGCTGCCGCTGCTGCTCATCTGTTCAATAACGTCCACCTCGGCTCGCAGCTCTGACGAGGACAATGTGAGTTAACAGCAAATCCAGACATGGACAGTTTTGTCTTCTTTATCCGTGACAAGTCAACATATTAGTAGTAAATATATATATATATATACTCTATGTACTCTATGTACTCTATGTTCTAAAGTAATGAGTCTGTTCAGGTTGTGGCTGAACCTCTTCACCTCTTTTGATATCATCGAGCTGAGGCTCAGGGGACGGATTGTCCTTCGAAGGGGAAGGGGACGTCTTGACCCCGACCCCGGGCTTCGTGGGGGCCCGGAACTGAGAGCTGGGCTGACTGGACCGGACAGACTGCTGCTCGATCCGGGCCTGGATCTTACTGCTGCCCTCTGCCCTAAAACACACACGCACACACACACACACACACACACAAATACAGAAAGACAATTTTTATATAAGGAAAACGAAGAGTTAAAAAATTTGGGAAACTAAACACCATCTTAAAAACATTTTCAGTTTTCATGAAAATTCCTGATTTTTTTCTCCAGAATGGATTTGTGTAGTTTTTTATTTGTAGTATTTGGATTTGTGTAGTTTTTTATGTATAACCTGAAGTCGTTGTAGTAATATTCACAGTATTTGTCTCTAAATTAAATCTCAATGGAAATAAGCATTTTGACAAAAGTGCAAATTAAAAAACTTCCACCAGTTGATCTGAAGCTCAAACATTCACTTGTCTTCGAGCGTCTGTGACCGGTCACCTGGTTTTCTTGACCTGGATGCTGCTGCTCAGCTTCTCCAGCACGTACTCCCCGGTGTCGTGGTTGATGATGAGCACGCAGTCCTTCTGGTACGGACGCTTGTTTCCTTTGAAAACCGTCATGGGCGGCGTGGAGCCCTGGAACCACAACAATGACTGATTACCTTCAGGTTCTACTTCCCCACGTCCTCCTGCAGAGACTCAAAGAGTTGTTTAATCATCGATGAGCCAGGATTTGTTTTACCGGGATGTGAGGTAACGTGATGGTCACTTCGTCTCCTTTCCCGACTTGCAGCTCTCCCTCGCAGCTCGTGTCGATCGATGCTGGTTTGAAGTCATCTGTGAAAGAACGACACCGATTTATTCCGGTTCTGATCAACAAACACTTTCATAAAGTTTCACACTTCAGTGAACTCTGGTGAACTTAAACTCTCCGACCCGCTGGTGGTTGATTGAACATTTATCCATTAACCTGTAGTTTCTCTAACGATCAGTGACTCGTGTTCATATTAGTTCTGAGACTTTAACTTGGTTAGAAGAATCAGAGACGGTGGATCTGCTCAGCTCAACGTGTTCTTGAGTATTAATACTTTAAACACTTCTCATCAGTGTAGTAAATCCTGTTGATGTGTTCAGATCCATCTGTCGTCCTCGTGTCCCGAGAGACCTGAGCTTTATTCACTGCTCATAAAGTGTCTCTGCTGGTTTGACTCTTGAGGACAGAGGACGCAGCTGCTTGTTACCATCGATGAGACAAATCAAATGTGATTGATTGGTTGATTAATTGGTTGATTGATTGGTTGGTTGATTGGTTGACAGCGCGATGACATCACAGGCTTTGTTGTCATACAGGACAATAACAGAGACAGAATAAGTAACCGCGGGAAACTTTAACGTTTAAAACCGGAGTGAGAGAGAAGACGCCTCCGTGTCCACATGTCTCGGTTGTGTCCACATGTCTCGGTTGTGTCCACATGTCTCGGTTGTGTCCACACTCACATCTGATGGTGTGGAACGAGGACTTCGGCCTCTTCTCGAAACTTTCCCCGAGCTTCAGCACGTGCTCCTCTTTGTCCAGCAGCGGGTTCGTGCTCCCGTTCATGTCTCCGTGTCGACACAGGCGTTTCGAAAAGACACGTCCACCCGCGGTTCACCGGGAAAACCGAGCTGAGCCCGCCTGGACACCGAGACACACGGTTAGCTTCCGATGCTAACGGTTAGCAAAACATCCCCTGACGTCACTCGGCCGCGCCCCTTCCGGCTTTGGTCCAGCTGTGAAATGTATGAAAATCTGCTTTTTTTTATCCTTTATTAGAAATAAAACTATTCACAGAAAAACACAATAAACTCGTGTTAGTGTTTTATCTCGTGTTTTTAATTTATTCTGAGTTTTTATTCAGTTTGGGAAAATATCCGCCTCCCACGGGGAGGAACTGACTTTATTACAACTGCGACACGGAGGAGTTTAACTGACGGACAAGATGGACGCTGCTTTCAGTCGCCAGAGTTTTGAACCAAAGTTTCAGTTTCAGCGTCTTTAAGTTCATGTGACGTCGATCGAGAGTTTACGATCTAACAAGTTAAAAACTGTTGAAGTTAAAGTGACGTAGATTTGAACATGGCGCGGTCCACACAGGAGAGTTTCCCCGGGGACACCACAGGGACAACGGGTGAACTGTCCCCGTGTGTCCCGGGACAAACGTCCAGAGACTCGACCCGGGGGGGGGCGGGCGGCCTCGGAGGGGCAGAGACTCTGGTGTCCGGCTTCAAGCAGATGAAGCTGGAGCGAGAAGCTCAGAAGAACTGGGACTTGTTTTACAAAAGAAACTCGACGAAGTTCTTCAAGGACAGACACTGGACCAGCAGAGAGTTCCAGGAGCTGCGAGCCTGCAGACAGGTGAGGGAGGACGGGACACACGAGGCGAGCTGCACCGTCCGAGCTTCATTTCACCTGGATGCTGTTCAACGTGACTCCATGTTGGATCATCACAGACAGTCCAGGTTCTTTAGGGCTCCTTTAGGAACTTTACTTTACTTACCTTTACCTTTACCTTTACTTTACTTTACTTAACTTAACTTAACTTTACTTAACTTTGGATTCATTCATGAGTGAATATAATATAAGTGGTCATGTGACTCACAATCAGACAATCAGTTCCATATATAAACAGGACACACCTCTTCCTGCTGGGTTTTACTGCTTCTTTATATTTGTTATGAATATGAAATAATCATATTCGTTATAATATTTTTATAAATGTCTTTGTATTAATAACCATTGATTTGTAAAATCTTCAGATCTGCTAAATCTCTTTAAAATGGCATCTTTTTGAATGAAGTCTGGTGGACTGACTTTCAGTTCCGTCTTTGTTCGGCCTGATTTGCAGTTTGAGTCTCAGAGGTTGGTTCTGCTGGAGGCCGGCTGCGGTGTGGGGAACTGCATCTTCCCCCTGCTGGAGGAAGATCTCAACGTCTTCGTTTACGCCTGTGACTTCTCTCCACGAGCTGTGGAGTTCGTCAAAGTAAGATTTGTATTCATCAGAATCTATGAATATTAATCTGCTTCATACTTTTGTAGGTCGAAGCTGGTCTCGTCTGTCTTTCTGTACAAAACATGGCGGTGGACGCTTCTGGCAGTAGATTTGTGTTTAGGAGCTTTTAACTGTAGAACACAAATCTCGTCCCTGGAGTTCAAAGTAAAGATCTAAAAACTAAGGTCTGTACTTTATTTTGAAAATAGATCTGTGTCGATTATTTTCTTGAATGTTTTGATAATTTTCTTTCTATAAAATGTATAAATGAGTGAATATCTCTCCTCACAAACATAGAGACATCTTTAGATTCCATGTTTTGCCAAATCAACAGTCGAACATCCAAAACACAAACAAAAAAATGCAGACAACTTTTGTGAAGTTTAGTTTTGTTGTTGTGGATCAAAATAGTTCCTGATGATTCTCTGTTAGCAAAACACGTTCTCTGTTTCCAGCAAAACCCTCTGTACTGCCCCGAGCGCTGCTGTGCCTTCCAGTGCGATCTAACCAAAGACGATCTGAAGACAAATGTCCCGGAGGACAGCGTGGACGTCGTCACTCTCATCTTCGTTCTGTCGGCCGTCCACCCCGATAAGATGAAGCTGGCTTTGCAGAACATCTTCAGGGTGAGAGAAGGTTTGATTCCTCAGATGTTTGGATCATTACACGGATGTTTGACACACACATTGTGTTGTGGGTTTAAAATGCAGTTGCTTGAGTTGGCAGCAGCAGTTGCAAGTGTTTTCATGTTGATTCTAATCTTGTCTCTGACACGTGGCTCTCAGGTGCTGAAGCCTGGAGGCGTTGTCCTGTTTAGAGACTATGGGCTGCAAGACCACGCCATGCTGCGATTTAAAGCAGGCAGCAAACTGGGGGAGAACTTCTACGTACGGCAAGACGGAACCAGGTCGTTCTTCTTCTCTAAAGGTCAGTGAACTAGGACGGGTGATTTATGTTTGTGTCTGTTCCGAAGATGGATGGATTCTACAACCATGTTTTGAGCCAGTGGATCTTTTTCTGCCTCTGGTTTGATACTTGTGTGAAAGCCTGCTGCCCTCTGCAAGCTCTGGATTTTAATTCCTCCACAGTTACTGTGGATAAAGCTGTTTGTAGACTACAACATGAAACAGACAGATATTCCCTATATCTTATATTATTATAAGATATTAAACCAGTTGGTGTCACTGTACAAATCTTAAGTGTTGGAGGTCCTTAATCATATTTTTCCTGTTGTAGAAAACCCCTCGACCGCCCCTCTGCCTGGTTCCCTTCCTCTAAAGTGTTTGCTCCTCTTGTCTGTCTGCTTCCAGAGTTTCTGGCTGAGCTCTTTACGGATGCAGGCTTCCAGTCTGTTGCTAACGACTATGTCCTGAGAGAGACAGTCAACAAGAAGGAGGGGCTTTGTGTTCCCAGGGTGTTCCTGCAGAGCAAATTCACCAAGCCCGGCCAATCAGACAGCTCCTGACGTCACGTGGCCGCCACTCCTCTCCCTGTGAATCTCCAGAGACAAGAAGAAACACGAGACTGAAACGTCCAGCTGAAGCTTAAAGGTGAAGAAGGTTCCTACTGGTGATGTCTTCTTTAGACCATGAGGTGGGTCTGTACCATAATCCCTCCTCTGACTCGATCACTGACTCGTTGGAGCGGCTTCTTCACCATCAGATGAAGACTGAGCTTGTGCTGGGAATCTTAAAGAGGGACATAAGTGGAACTTTACCTTATTTACCTTTAAATCGCCGAAAGCTCTTGAATCTTGTCGTGGCATCCAAGTTGATATCTTTGTTTCTTCGACACGTGCGGCTCCTCTGCTTCATCCTGAGATATTTGTATTTTTCCAGTTTTGTAAAATTAGAAATGTCAACACTGAAGTTTCCAGACAGTTTATTCGGGGACTGGCAGGAAAAGTCACGAAAAATATCTGGAGCGACAGACTGAGATATTTGTGGTGTTTGAATGTATTCGAGACAAAAAGACAAAAGTTTCCACTCGTTCTACCTGAAAACTTTTCACCCAGCCCAAAAAAACTCTTGCGATGGCTCACAGGCTCTCACAGCACACGTGGCTCTAAACTTGATTTCGAAACTTTACCCGAGCCACTGCAGCTTCCTGTCCTGTGGTCGGACTCGTGCAGCCCCTCAATCGAAATCAAAAAAACAGAGACAGGTGGAAACGGTGTCACACCTTGAAGTTTTTTTCTAGATGTGCATGAAAACAAAGCATCTACAGTCTCTTGTTTATATTAAAGCAACAAAATCAACTGACAAACAGGCGACTTGCTCTGTGAATATGAGCTTTGTCCTTTTTATAGTTCACCATAGAGTTGAGATCAGTTCTGCTGCTGCTTCTCGTGTGGTTGTCTTACTTTTAGAAATCAAAAGCCGAGAAGGAAACTGAACCAGGGCAGAGTGTTGCAAACAAGCAAACATCAATTCTGCAGCTTCTCACACCTCTGACCAGCAGACAGGAAAATGAGCAGGGTCATGAAGGTATTGTCAGTTTCTATAGAAGTCTCAGTTTGTCTCAGTCTCTAGTTTCAAGTTTTCCTCAATTCAGCTGATGTTCATTTAGTAAACTATGTGTGGAGACTGTGTGACGTTGGTTTACACTCAATGGAATCATATTGTAGATCTTTTTTATAGGACAGAAGTAAAGCGTGGAAGAGGGAGAGAAAGAGAGAGAGAGAGAGCGAGGAAGACGCGCAGCACGGGGCCGTGTTTGAACGTGTCGATCTTCTCATGTTGAGTCTGAGATAAAGTCACTGAAACAGGTTCAACAGAGGATGAAGCATCCAAATAAACAAAAGTAGAAAATCATTTTGCTGAAAATGTTTGTGAAACTTGGTTTATTCAACTTGTTGGAGGTTTTTAACCCTTTATGAACAGAGTCGTGAGTCAGGTGATCAACCTGCAAGAGAGTGAAACAGAAAATCAACACATCAGTGTTTGTCACAACTCGTTTTCTATTTCAGAGAAAAACTACATTTCACTTTGCATGTGATGTTTTTCAGAAAGATGAAAAAGTTTCATGTCCATCCAGAACTTCGGACATGTGGACAAATCATCATTTGATGTTTCTGCATTGATACTATTTATTTAATATTACTCAGTTATAATAATGATTTTCCTCCTTGATGAGACTTTACCTTTGAGACTGACCCGGATGAAGTGTCCCATCGCCACCTCTCCATTATCACACTTGGCTTTGCACTGAAATTCGCCTGTGTCATTCGTTGTCAGGTCCAGAATCTCCGTCTCGACCTGCCTGCGTCTCATGTTGCCGTCAAAGACTGTCTCGTTCACCGTGGTGACGTACTTGTTGGGGTCAGTCAGCTTGATGCCTCCATTTTGACTCCATGCCACATGCACCGGGCTGCACTGCTCATGGTTGTAGATTGCTATGCAGGAGAGTTTGACGGACGAGCCTTTGGACACAGTGATGGTTCTCTGTGGATAAAGAACCTCTATGTTCTCTGGGACACAAACGAAGCCACAAACAATTGATTTTAAAAAGTTAAACCGGTTCAGAGGAAACTTGTCGACGTGTGTTATGATCGACTTTATAATTAAAACTTCAATATGTCTTCTGATGGAAACTAAAGGTCCTTCAGTAGAGCTCTTTCTTCTGCCCACGCACAAACAGACAGAGTCAGAAACACAACCTTCTCGGCGGAGGAGAAAAATGACCGTGCCAACAAATCTTTACTCACCTTTGTCCAGAGCGGAGGACAAACAGAGGACCAACACCAGCAGCACCGAAGGTCCAGTGAGCCAAGTCATTCTCGTGGACACACACTCACACTGTCACAGGAACGCAGAGGACCACGACACGTGTCTCCAAACTGGTTTACTGAAGAACAACAGATATGTGGGTGGAGGATGCGCATTTCTATTTCCTGTCTGATGTTTCCTTCCTCTCTGACAACTACAGATTTATCACTTTATTTTGAAAAGTCTCAGTTTTCCGTACTGTATCACCTTCTAGTTCTTATGATTAAAGAAGTCGTCTTGTTATAAGACAACTAAGTATTTTTGGATTCTCATGTAGCTTKTTTTTTTTTTTTTTTTTTTAATCAAACTGCATTAACATACATCTTTAACAAAACAGCTTGAACGCTTATTTTTAACTTTAAGTTGCTATTTAGATTTTAAAAGTTAAAAGTGAGGATGTTGGATTTAGAGCTTCCTCCTCACTGGGCACATAGAAATAGTTTCATACCAACATCATGTTGGGACAAAGTCCTTCTGACAAACCAACAAGGACGATGTTATTTCACTTTCATTAGTAAAAGATCCAAAATCAGATTTTCAACCAGACGATCAACTAATTCTGAACCTCCGTCTTTTTACAGATTCATTAAATAAATGTTTTAGGTTTTTTTTTATGATGTGCGAGATTCTCACTATGATGAGAACAAATTTAATAAAAAACATTTACAAATGTTTTATATTCATGAATTTGATAAATCTCCAAAACGCCTTGAAAGAGTCAGTAAACTTTAAAGAATCCTCTCATGTGCACTTTGTATGAATGGTGGTACTACCTGCTGCTGACCACTAGGGGGCAGTATTTTCATGACCTGAGAATCCCAACATGAGTCTTTGAGAAACAACCAGATCCTGGAATCTGCTGACGCGTCCTGTCACGTCAACACGAGGGCTGGAATATTCCAGACATTTAGAAAATCCCACAACGTCGACCTGATGAGAAAGATCTCGTTCTGTGATTCTGTCACTGTTTTCCTGTTGAACCTCCAGAACTCACCTCCTCTTATTTCAGTGCCTCATCACTGCTTGAAATAATGATTCAGGAAACATTTATATTTAGTTTGAGGATTAAACGACGGAGGAAACAGCCTTTCACTCATATTGATGACGTTTTGTTTGCTCATATGAAAACTTTTATCAAACAGAATAAATGCAGAAAAGATTTGCATTTATGTTTATATATTAGGTTTTCTTGATCTCAAACAGACACAATAACGTCACTCTTGTATTCTGATAATATTCATTTACATTCACTCCAGTGTTTTCCATAATCCGACCGCAGCTTCACTCAGAACAAACCAAACAACTTGAAGCACCAAGTTTCATGACCTGAGATCTGACACTGAATCACTGTCTTGTATTAATTGTTTAAATATTTTCATTTGTATTAAAGACAAGGATTTGACTCAGTAGAGCTCATAACATTCCTGGATCCACTGCTTTGAGTTTCCCTGATGCAACATCAGGGAAACTCAAGTTTCACATGGATCCATCCGGCTGCTTCAGTTTAATCCTGCTGACGAACACACACATGAAAATACAAGTTCCTCTGCAGAGGCAGCGAGGTGAAGGTTTGAGATGGATGACGATCCCAGGAGCTTCCTGAACACATCAACTAGACCCTCTGACTCGGACGGAGCAATTTATCACGGTGACCTTAACGGACACGGGGGGTCGGGAGGGGGGAGTCGAGAGCGAGGTGTGACCGTCTCTGCGTCTTTTTCAGACACGTCCTGCTATTGAGACAAATCGGCTCAGTGAGACAGGAAACGTGCTGACGGGACGGAGGTGGGACTCTGACTGAATATCTGGTTGTGTATATTTATCTCATGTGAATTCTGGTTGTAGTTGATTGTCAGAGTTTTCTGGAGGAAGACAAAGAGTTTATATCTAAAAACAAATTTGATATTTGGATTTGGAAAAAAGGTTTTAAAGGTTAAATATGTAATTTCATCACTCAGATATTTTTTATCCTGATGTTCTCCCCTTATCCTGACTTTATCCTTTATCCTGATGTTCTCCTGACGTTCTTTATCTTGACGTTGTTTATCCAGATGTTCTCCTGACGTTCTTTATCCTGACGTTCTTTATCCTGACGTTCTTTATCTTGACGTTGTTTACCCTGATGTTCTCCCCTTACCCTGACTTTATCCTTTATCCTGACGTTCTTTATCCTGATGCAGGGCTCTGGGAAAGTCACTGAAGACTCTTGCTGCGTCAGCCTCCATCCTTGAGGTAAACAGGCCCTTGTACTGGTTATGCAACATGTTTGATGTCTCCTCAGGCCTCTGTCTTCTCAGTCTCTGTACGTTCCTCTCCGCTGAGCAGGAGGAATGAAAACAAGAGATGTTGAGGTTGATGCTGAAGAGAAGCCTGAGAGTCTCTCTGACTGAGCTGATGCGTATCCGGAATGTTCGGAGTGATACGAACCCCCAGCAGATGAGTGAGAGACCTTTGTTTGGCTGTTGAATCCAGTGCAGGATCTAAATGCATCTCAATCCGAGTGAGTCTGAATACGTCTCCCATTGGTTCGTCCACTTACATCGGGTTCGATCACCTCAGTAAACATTTCATCCAGTTCGTCCGATAGTCGCTGAGATATTCGAAAGTTTGATCCAACCTGTAAAAATGATTCACTGGGACAAAATCTTTACAGGATCCTTTAGTTTCAATCACACGAGTGTCGACTCAACGGGACGTCACAAATACTTGGTGTTGGATGATGCCAGCTGTCAATCACACTGTGGGATCCACCCCTCGTAATTCAGCTGTGTTGAAGAAGACTTGAAACCAGAGACTGAGACATGAACTCCTGAGGACAAAGTTTCCTGACGTTATAAATCAAGTGACCGTTATTTTCTCATCGACTTCTATAGAAACTACCAGTGGAGTCGCCCCCTGCTGGACGTTCAGTCTAACAACTTGGTTTAAATGAACGTAAATCTAACATGAATGTCGGAGCAGGAGAAATGTGGAGTCTTTTTTATTTCCAGTCTTTTATTAGAAACTGTCCCTGCTCCTCCATCTTGTCATAATGACGCGTCACAGCTTTGTGGCACTAATCACACACCATACACCTCATCAGAAGGGGGCGTTCCCGGGGCGAGCAGATGTGCGGTGGTTTGATTCCCGGCTCATTGTGGAGACAGAAGCAGCCGAGGACACACGCCTCCTCCTCCGCTGTGCCACAGACCCGCCGGACTCCTGCAGGATGCTCCTCTGAGGACAGAAGTCAAACCACCGGAGACACTGTCCTCTCCGTGAGTCCACCGGGACACCGACGCCTCTCCTGCCGGCGGTGGCCGCATGTTAGTGTCTTTGTTCGGCGGTGACATCTGTCCTCCACCCGCAGCATGGAGCAGCCGGAGAGGGAGCACAGGTCGGACGAAGACACGGAGTACGAGGACGAGGAGGTGGACCCCAGAATCCAGGTGCGTCTTCTTCACCCATTACTGCTCGATCGTTCGCGGCTGCACATCTGGACGCAGCTGCTGCTCCAGGTCACGTGACGTGTTGAAAATGTCCTGCAGCTGCGCGTGATGCGTTAATGAGCAGAACCTCTGCAGGCTCGCGCGCTGATTGGCTCCAGTTCTCTATTAAATATGCACATCTGCATTCAAACCATGTCAACAAGGAAGAGCGAGACAAAACATCTGGATGGAGATGAATGAATCTCAACCACGCTCACGTGGAGGTGATTCTTTAATTGGCTAATCAATTAATCGCTCGGGGATGAAAAGGTTTGTTGAGTTGATGAAGTTTGATTCATCCAACAACAAAACCTTAACTCTCTCTCACACACACACACACACACACACACACACACACACACACAC